TTAGTTTTCAAGGAAAATTATAAACTATCAGCAAGCTGGGAGCACTAATGGGACCAGATTGCTTTAAGACAGAACTTTTTCAGTTCCACCTTAGAGGTAATTTGAATGTCTGCAAGGGGATGTGTTCATGTATCCTGGGACAGTCATATAAGGATGTTGTCACCTCTTCCAGGTCAGTGAACAAATAAAAAAAAATATATAGAGAAATACTTGAGTGATCAGACCTTGTAACAGGCATCATCTTAAAATGGTGTTTACCTGGCAGGGTGAAATGAGGGAGTGCCACAGCCATTTAAAGGATTTCAGTGTGTAATTTAAAGAGAATTTCACCTGTTCTAAATCATGGGAAGGATAGGGGTGCAACTTATAAAGGCCCTTCATTTGTGGGATTTGAAACAGCATCTTATCCACACTCTTGTTGCACAACTTTTGGGGGAGCTTGACAAAGCTGGAGGATGCTCTGGCTGCTTATGAAACACCCAGGTTTGATTTGCTGTTAAAACAGAAACAAAAGTTCAGGAGTCCAATGGAAGCAGCTGCCCGTGGAAGGTCTCACACTGGCTGCTCTCACTGCCTGCAATTTTCTGCATTTCAGTTAAACTCCTGCAGGCCCCCAGGACTGGGAAGTGGATGGGTTGGAGAAGCTGCTTTAGCTTTGTGCTGCTCCTCTGTGGTCAGCAGATACCTGTGAGTGAGCTTTGCTTTCAGTTTCATGGGGACAAGCCTCTATGCCAGGGTCAAAATGGGATTTGATAGAAGATTTTTGGTGTTTTCATACATCAGTGTTAATATTCACTGGGAAGGAACATGAGAGTTTTTATATTTTGTTTTATATTGCCTCTGCACTGTTTTTGCACTCAACTGATTTGGTTTTTGGGCTTGCTCAAAATTTCCATGCGGTTTGACCCAGAGATGGTTATACTTGGGGGTGGGAAAGGATTTACTGGTATTTGAATGATAAGAATACTGATCTATTTAGAGGATCTAGAATAGAAACTGCTACAGGAAAACCACAAGGGCTCTTATTTAGGAACTGTACAGTAGAGAGAAGACAATTTTTTTCTTTTTTGGGGGTCATTTTAGGTCCCTCAGGATCCACTTTCACCTGAGGGCTGCTGAAAATTGTTTCTTTGGGATGCCAAGAGCTTCTACCAATACCATGTCTTGCCTAACTCTCACCAGCATGCTCATGCCTAATTTTCAGATTTCTCATCAGAAAAAAAAAAAAAAAGTGTATTTCTTTGATAATATCTATTTTTGCTTGAAAATGAGCTACATAAGCCCCTTGTGTAAGAAAATGCAAAGGCTGGAGTCTGTGTAGCTGTGGAGTTGTCTGAGTTGCAGCGTCTCTCCTCAAGATCTTTGCTCCCTATTATGGTAGGTGGTCCCCCAGCCAGGTAATAATTGGCACAGACTCCATGTGTTACAGAAGGTTGATCGATAATATCTTTATTAATAAACTTATTGCTCTTTTATAGACTAGTTCACTACTTAATTGGTCTTTTACTTAAAACCCTATCACTATTGGTTAATTAAAAACTACCCTTTGGTAAACAAATTTCTATAACACATTCTACATGTTTGCAATACCAGGTATAGCAAGTGAAGATAAGAATTGTTTGTCATTCTTTCCTCTGATTTTCTCACAGACATTTCCCAGCACCATGCCTGGAAATGTTATCTGTGCTCTCTGTGACCAGACAGAGCTGCTGCCACAGCTCCCCATGGCCACAGTGAGGCAGCAAAATCCAAACAGGATTTTTCTGTTTTGGATTTTTGTTCTAAAGCAGCGTCAGGAACGAGTCCCTAAAAGCTTTGCCAGGTGGGATGCTTGACCAAGCTGAATCCTGCTGCACGGAACGCTGGTGGGGATTCACCTCCAGCAGTCCTCAACTCCTTTTGTGCTTTGATCCTGCAGGAACTGGGCTGGGTGAGAGTGACGCAAACTTTTCTAGACCTTTCTAGTAAGTTTTGGTTGAGTTGCATGTGTTTAGAGGAAATTAATAAATTTTTTTTAGCCTCTCTCTGAGGATGCGTTAAAGACATAGCAGAAATCAGTCTGGCTTTGGAGCATGTGTGCTTTATTTCAGTCCTGTCATATTGTCATTACAGCTTCAGGGTCCTGTTAGGCTCTACAAACACAGCATGAAAACCATTCCCTGAGCAATCACTGAAGCCTGAATAAAAAGCAACAAGAAAAGGACTCTTCCATTACAGGTAAGTTACAAAGCATGGAGGTAGAGAAAACTTCCTTTCTGTGGCTAAGGATTTCTCTAGACACAAGCTAAGAAACTGAGTCTTTATAAAGAGCCTAATTCCCTTGGAATAAAGTCTTCAAGGATTTGAATGTTTCTTGCCTAAAATGACACTGGAAATCCTTGGGAGGTGACTGGAAAGTAAAGTTTTGTCACAGCCCTGGTTCCAAACCCACCTGCTGCCCCATGGCCTGAGACATAACTAACAAGCAAGGACAGGGCTGAAAGGCAACTAATAATCTATTATAAAAGAAAAATAGAGCAGTTCAAAATGGATCTTTGCCTCCTGGTACATAAATCTTTATGGTTGCTCTGCTTGTCTAGAAAGAATTTCTTTGCAACCAGAAAGGAAAAAAAAAGATGTTGACTGTGTCTGCAGCATGCCCAGCTCAGCAGAAGGGAAATGCTTGTTCATTATTGGCAGCCATAATTAGTATGGGACACTGGTTAAAGGAGAAGCTGTTTGCTAAGCAATCACCAATGAGTTGTGAGGGAGCAGCAGGGGACAGCGCTTGGTGGCAGGAATGTGGTCACACAGGAAAGCAGGGCAAAGCACCACCAGGTGTGTGAGCTCTGCAGCAATTTTTTCTGCTTTCCTTGTAAATGGATTAGAGACAACTTGAATACCTCCCTCAATTAGCACCATTTCCTATAGATGGAGTAATTTACTAGTTTAAAGAGGAAATAATGGAGTGCAATTTATTTAAATGACTCATCAAAGGGAGCAAGGCTGATTCAGCCCTCTGGTTTATCCCTGTCCTGTGGGAAGGGGTATCTCAAGGTGCTGTACCCCCAGAGCACAGGCTGTCACTTTGGGCTGCACCTCTTGCATGTCACCAGGGGCCTGTTTGCCTGTTTTTAACACTTTTGTCCTCTTGTCTATTCCATTTTGGCAGAAATGAGGCACACACACCTGTCAGAGTGATGTGGGTGTCAAGGAACTTTATGGAGGGATCATCTCGAGTGGGATTGCAGGAGAACCAGGGCATCAGGCCCAGGCTGTGTGAGAGGCAGGTCCTGCCTGCCCAGCCTGATCTCCTGTGGCCTGCCCAGGGGCTGAGGGAAAGGGATGTTATCAACACAAACTGCAGTAAAACCGTCAGCACCACGGTGGGTTAGTGGTTGGACTCAGTGATCTTAAGAGGTCTTTTCCACCCTTAATTCCATGATTCTACAGCTGAGATGGAGATAAATTACCTTGCATCTTACGACAGCTGGATGCAATAAAGGGTGTATTGCAATTTTAAACTTTCCTTTTGATCACTAACCATTGATTATAAAAGAAAAATAGTGCCACCCAAAATGGATCTTCATGTTCTGGTTCATAAATCTCTATGGTTTCTTTTCTTGTCTAGAAAACCAGGAATTTCTTTAAGGTGCTATTGATCAACATTAATGCTTATCTGTCTTCAAGGCTGAACAGTGGCACAGCCTCTGCAGACTCCTAATGATTTTCCACTATACTCTGCAAATGAATGTTTTAGCACAGAATCTGCAGTTATTTCACTGCAAGTGAGGAGGTAGCTTTTGGAGGGCTACTCTGACCATGAAGGTAACTGGATGGTATATTCTTTTAGAGAAAGGAATTAAACAGAATCATTACAGCCCCATCAGAGGCAAGCCTGATGAATCCCTGAATAGCCTCTTGCTGTTCTTGGGAAGGTACAAACACCTCTACAGAGGTAGCACAAATACTCTGGATAGCATCTGATACATTTTCATGCATCTCACTGTTTTTCTTCCTCTTCTCTGTATACTCTTAACCTCCATGATAAATTTCTTATTTCCCACCCTCATGTGGTGGTCAGGCTTTCAGCCCCTCAGTGCCATGCCAGCTTTGGAGCAGGGTTGGGTGAGCTGTCCCTACATTTCCCTTTCTCCAGGGCCCTGTTCCATCAGCTCAGTCAGTCTGAGGTTGGGTTTTTTCCCTGAATGTGCCTGGATCCTGTTCTTTGGAGTCATTCCTGCTTGCACATGTTCCCTGAACTTTTGCTGGCTGTTTGCATAGCCAGGAGTGTATTTCCTGGCTGGCACGTGGCCCTGGGATCTGTGTATGAGCAGAGATCCTGGATGGGGGTGAGTTGGTGTTCAGAGCTGTGGGATTGTGCTTCACATGCACTGCATCCCAGGGGCTTAACTCCTTGTCTCATTTAGTCACCTTGTGATTTAATTTCTGGCCTCTCCTCCACCCCAAATATCACTGTGCTTGGGATTTGTACAAAGATAAGGTCTCCAGATGTGATCCTGATGTTGATCTGAGGGAAAATGCCTGGTACCACATTGCCTGGTTCAGATCCTCTCAAACGTTTCTAAACATTATCCACCTTCTCACCAGGCAGCTGTAAACTGAGACTGTCTTGAAAGCCAAGTTTTCAGGATATAGATTCATTTAGGGAGTCTGAACACTAATAATGCCTCAAATACCCTTTGAGCTCAAGCTTTTGATATTTCTGTACACCCATTTGTTATCCATCTGATTTCAGATTCACTGTGGATTTCTTGCAGACCACAGTTCTTCCTCTGAGCCATCCATCTGCTGTCAACTGATCATCTTTAGTGTCTCAAGCAAGCCAGAAGACAATTTCTTTGCTTTTCCTCCTGTGTTTGCTATTTCTGTGGCTGACACTTGATGTGCATTTGGCACCAGAGCTGCACAACTGCACTTTGCTCATCCATGGTACCTTTTGTCTCTTCTGTCATCAGACCTGCTCTCTCTGGTGTTTGCACCTTCCAGCTCACCTGAGGGTAAAACCTGCAGTTCATCCAGAAAGGAGGAGTGTTTTTGTAAGGGCACACAAAGCCCATTTGTTGCCTGAATGCTGCAGAAATGGCCTTTTAATGGCAAAACACAGAGGTAGCCAAAAACCAGCCTTGAAACCTTCTGATGAAGATGCTCCAGATGTGTTTCTATTCAGCTCCCTCATGTAAGAGTGGTGCTGTTCTGAGTGCTATGGCATGAATCTTAGTGGTATAGAAAGTGAAAGAAATGTGGTGATGCCAATTAGTAGAGGCTAAAAAACCTTTTTAACCTTATTTAATTCAGGTACAGAGCAATTCCTATGCAAGATAAACAAATGGAGGATCTGAGTTGTTTTTACCATAAAAGCTATTTATTTTCTGTAGAGTTCAGATGCTGTGACCATTTAAAAATGGAAATACAGTGAATGGTGAAAACATGTATTTGACACATGCACTTTTATGTGCAGAACTTATATGTGTTAGAGAACCCATGGCCTTCTCTAACCAGAAGGAAATAATATTCTGTAAGAGGGCTCTGATGTGGTTTCTCCCTGTCAGGGAGAGGCAAAGGAAGAGAGAGGAAATATTCATTTCAGGCAGAGGAGAAGGAGAGACTTCCATCAAGTCTGTCTAGTGTTGTCAACACCCCAGAGAAATATTTCATGCTTTTTTATAACTTTACTAAATCATATGGGAACATCAGGCTCTGAATAAAGAGTAGCATGGAGGAAAAGAATGACTCAAAAGTCGATCTGCTTTACTGTAAGCACAGCTCAACACTGGGCACACACAATTCCTGAAACTGTTTTCCCTGCTCTAAAGGTTTATCCTTGAAGTCTCTGACTTGCTACAACTACTGGAGGAAATGAATGTTGGACTCTGTACAGGATGTTTGTAATTCTTCTAGTGCTATAAAAATAACTTGCCCAGTTTTGATTCTGTTGAGTCTTCGTAAAGATCTTTTTGGGTTTATGTAATGAAATTTGGCAAATTCCTAAAGATATTTTCTATTGAACTACCAATCTTAGAAACAAGATTGTCAGTGTACATCATTGATATATCAGCTGTTAGGAGTGATAGACTTGTAGAGAAGCAGCATTTTCCTTCATTCTTAGTGTTGTAATTTTGAAAATCAGTGTACTAACTTTCACTTTTGGATTAGATTTCATTCCTTACTCTTGAATGGTTTTTTTTTTGGTCGTTTTGTGGGTTTTTTTTTTTTGGTTTTTTTTTTTTTTTTTTTTTTTTTTTTTTTTTTTTTTTTGTTTTTGAGATTCAGACTCCTAAAAAAATTTTATTTCCTTCTGGAATTGTGAAAATTTGACCCTTTAAATAAAACAGTCCTAAATTTAGTTTCTCTGTAAAAATTGTGGAACTAAATTAGATACCCATGTAAGTATTCACTATTTCTTCTAAAAGCACAAAAGGTGATGGTGCAACAGTTGCACTTTGGATTTGGCCACAAATTGGAGCCAGTCTCTAAGATATAAGGGGTTTTATGCTGTATCAGACTTTCTCAGCATTTCCACTCCTTCTTGCAAAGGTTTAAAGGTATGCTAAATACAGCCATGTGAAATATTCGTAAAGGCAAATGAAGCAATAGCCCACATTCATGTGGGTTTTTTTTCCCTGTGTGTTGAGAACCAAAAAGGGGAAATGTTTTCATCTTGCCCCGTTTTTAGACAAATTCAACCCAAATATTGATAAACAATTTTTGGAAGGGAAGTTCTCTTCAGGTGGGAAGTTATTTGCTTTGTAAGAATCCACATCTGAACCAGTGAATCTGCCCTGTCTTTAGAAACCAGGGCAAGGCCAATAATTCTGTTGAGAAGGTGTGACCTGAAGAAACCATAACGAGCCCTGTGGTGTGACCTGTGGGGTCATCCCCATAGAGCTGAGATGCTGGGAAACATTTCTGTTCCCAGGTGGTCCATGTCACATCTCAGTGCTGGTTTCCCTGTTGGGGGCTTTGGCAGAGGGATTTGATGCTGAGGGCTGAGCTGAGTGAGCCGCAAGGTGCAGGAGCCTCTGAAGGGGCTGGAGAGAAGGCAGAGCTCCTTTCTGCTGACCAGACCTATTAAACCAGTGTTTGAAAGGCTGTTGAAGCTCAGCTTCTTTTTCCCAGCTACAGAGAAGAAGGGTTCAGGCAAACCTGATTGTCAGCTTGTGTCAGCCAAAATAACCACTTGAATTTATGCAAGCAGTTTGGGTTTTTCCAAGTGATGCAAAACCAGGCAAAGTGGGAGAGTCTCGCTGAACCTCAGGGTTTCCAGAGATATATGAAGAGTAGAACTCAAAGGCTGGGCTATCTGGGAAGAGTTTTGTGAGATGGAAAAGGATCTAGAGCAGATTTTTGCCTCTGGAGGATGCAATTCTTCAGAAAAAGGTGTGAAGGGAAGGAAGATCTGTGTTGGGTTCTTGTATGCAGGATTAGAGGCAGTGGGAGGGAAACCTTGAAGGCATCTCCTAATTAATGATGTTCAGTGCCACCCATATGAGAAGACACTGAGATGTTTTGCAGTTTTCCCCCTGTGCTGTCCCAGAGCAGTGGAGCTCTCTGTTCCTGCGTGTCCCTGTCACCCCACGCCCTGAATGCTCAGAGCTGGGGCCTCTCTCCTCTCCCAGGTGGAACAGGTAGGTGTTTGGATGCTGAATCCCTGCTCATTTCAGGGTTTTTTTTGGTCAGAGTACCTTTGCTGTTCCATCAGGATTATGTATCAGTCTTGGAATGTGTCTTCCCCATCTAGTAATGGAACATTCTGGAGTATTGGCCACAGGCAGACAAATGGTGCAATGGGAGCCAGGTTGGGCATGGGAAATAATTCAGGGACTGACCAGAGAATATTGCTCATTTTTGGAGGATTTGGTGCCATTATTGGCACGGACCTTTAGAGTCTCTATTCCAATGTGGCACAAGGGTCTGCTTTCAGGGACTACTTCTTATATTTACACAGTTACTATCTTCATGCATAAAATATCTTCTGTTAAAGGAATATAGAAAAAGAGGAAATATTCTTGATGTTTTTATCTGATGTTTTTCTGCAGAATTTTGTTTTCTGTATCCTGTGATCTCCTAAGAAATAGATGTAGATTGGTCCTAAGGTACCAAGAGTGTTTTGTAGCATCTGGGATAGCAAGTGAAATTGTGAACATCCCCCTGGGTTGATCACCTGTTCTAGGGCTGCTTTCGACTGCAAACCTTCTTTGCTACACTAAATTCTAAGGTGTTTACTGGTGGTGGGGAGAAGAACTTGTACTTTACAACAAACAAATATTAGTTTCCTTCACCCAGTACATTCTCCCTTTCTTTCCATGGTTCCTTCTCTAACTCTCCAATCTACTTACATGTTTTCAAAATAAGAGTCTGGAAGGATTCCCAGTTTGCTCCACTCAGGCATCATTGCAATTATAATTTCACATTTGGCCTTCAGCAGAACAGAGTGTCTCATCTCTCAGAAAGGAATATTCATAGGAAAACAAATAAAAGCACTCACCAGCTGGTGCCTGGTGAATTATACTGCTCGAAGTTCAAGGATATTGAGTGTAGTACATGCTGATTGGCATTTCTGTGGATGTTTCACTGGCATCATTTGACTCTTTCTAGCACTAAATTCAGGCAGACATACACCAGTGCAGTTTTTGTCTTGCTATGTGAAAAAGATGTTTAAGCTCTCGTGAACTTTCATCGTTCCCTGTAGAGATTTGATTTGCAAATGGTCTAGGTTGGTTTCCCTCTGCCTTGATCCCAGAGAATTGCTCTCTTTAGTCCTTTATGAAGCATAGGTGGAGGCAGGCTGCAGCAGCAGCTGGCTGCCAGGAATGCAGCTTTGGTTGCAGTGTGATTCCAGCCAGGAGCAGTGCTGTGATCTGCCTCAGCCTATTCTGCTACTGCTGGACAATTCTCCCCCTTCCTTCCTCCTCTTCCTCTCCCATCACCCAGGAAAAGGCTTGGGAAACTGCACATGGGGGTTAAAAGGAAAGTAAAATGCTCTGGTGTTTTCCCCCTGGTGCAAGAGGATTCATGTCACAGCTTCCTTCGCTGGCTGCTAGGTCACAGCTTGCAGCATGGAAATGCTGTCTGTGGTGAAAGTAAGTTTTGAAAGTTTTAACATGCAGGAATAATTTCCCCAGAATCTTGGGGGATTTGCAGCCCTGGTTTCCACTAAACTAGATGAACAATGGGATTGCATCAGTTGTCCCCAGGATTTAGAGAAAATAAGACATTCTGGTGCTAGGGCTGCACTGAAATAGTAGTAAAAATCCTAATTTTTGAAGAACAAAGTGTCTCCCAACTTAATGTTAATGTTAATGACTGCTTAATGTTTCTCAATACTAAATTATTTGCATCAATTGGAGATTTATAAAGGAAGTTAACAACAAGATGCTTAAAGGACACATCATTTTGGAACATCTTGCCATGTGATTTATTGAAATGCCATAAAAAGGCATACATGCATTACAAATGCATTTATACATTACAAACCCCTTTAAAACACCCACACTCAACAGGTTTGTTTTTCTCCTCTGCTTTCTTTTGCTGCATCTTAGCTCTAGGTATTGAGGGTGGTAAATGTACAGACATAAATGGGTTTGGTCATTCTGTGCAAAGCAGAATACACTTTTTTCTAAACTTATTGATGCCTGCCTATCTCTTATCAGCTCTGCTGAAGCTGGATGTATAAAGCACCTGGCTTCCAGCTCTGGCTGTTTCCTGGAAACATTACTCAACTTTTAGTGCTTTTTCACCCCCTGGTCCCTAGGTTTATATTAAAAACCTTAACAATAACCTTTTGGGTTTATCAAAGAAACAGGGGGAAAAGCAAGCTCAAAGCACTTTTGTTATACATATATATTGTGTATCAGCCTCAAACTGCTGAGACAAGAATTAGGTGGGTTTCTTTCAGGCTGCTGTGCCATAAATCTCCAGACTGGCTCTTGTAGTTTATCGGGGCTGAGTGGCTGAGGTGATCCTCCATAAACAACTCAGACATGTGGAAGATGAATTTTAACGAGCATTCTCAAAGCTAAGTGCTACTTCTTGCTTCTACACCTCAAATTCACCCATTTTTTATTTTTATGTTATATCAGAGCTGCTCTGTGCTTTTTCCCCCCTCTAATTATCTACACTCAAGCTGGATTCTGTCAAACCCAGAGGAAAGGGAACATATCAGTGTACACAGAGATGGGGTTTCCACCTACAAA